TCTCTCTCTCTCTCTCTCTCTCTCTCTCTCTCTCTCTCTCTCTCTCTCTCTCTCTCTCTCTCTCTCTCTCGGTGCCAGGTACTAACCTGTGAAGGTGGAGCCTTGCTGCAGGTACATCGAAGATGAAGCTGGAGCTATGGCGTCATAGGTAAGCTCCCAGGTAAGTCTCCCTGGCCTCCGCCACTCTCCTCTCTTTCTAACGCTACTCTGAGCGCCCAGCGCTGAAGACTACTCTTATCTCCAACTACTGCAGCGCTCCGCCGAGTGCTGCTGCCGAGTGCCGAAGCCTGCCTCCTGAACTCCGCACTGCCTCCTCGGTGGACCAGTACTATACAGTGCTGATCCGGCTGGGAGGCTGCTCTTGCCAATGCCGATTCGTGCCAGACCCTGGTGCTGAAGTCAAAAAAAAAGGTTGTCTTGAAACGGGCCTAAAAGTGGCCTGCGCTGGCGCCTAAGTTTCAGGAAAGGTAGAGGGCCTAAAATTGGCCCACCTTTTTAGGCGTTTAGGCTGAAACGACACAGGGCCTGGAGGGGCTTTATTTATCCCTTGTTCCTCCTGGTCGGGCCCTGGAGGCCCGTGTGGTGCGCAGTATGCCACACCAAGAGCCCGGAGTATGCCTTGAGCAGGGTGAGGGCGTGCATAGGCAGCTTCTTGGGGAAGTTTTTCTTTTAAGTTCTGGCGTTTTGCGGTAGAAAAGGAAAGACGGGGAAAGACCAGGAAATTCAATCCCGATCGATAGGCGGGCCTTTATTTCGGGGCTATAGGTGAACGGCGGGGACTTCCGAGCCTCTGATCCGAGGCACTGGGCTTGCTGCACTACGCTCCACCTGCACAGACGACAAGAAATATATATAGCAATGTATCTTTCCATATCTTAGCGGAGGATTCGGTCTCGTTTTGCACATTTGGCGAGTATTGGAGCGAGGCCCACTGCCGGAGCTTGGGGCATACCAGCGCTCGGAGTTCCCAAGACATATCTGGCGGGAGGTGCCACCAAATTTAGGGGGTGTGTGTATGTATGGCCTCAGTCGAAGCAGGACGCGAAGTGCCAATTTGAAGCGCGTTGAAGGTATAATATAACTTCATGCATCCATACCAGCGTCAAGAGCATCGATTCATTACACTGCTACTTCAGCAACAAGCCAATCATTCATGACCAAAGAGACCGGCGTATGTATCAACAGAACATACAGAGTCGCCACACACACACACACACACACACACACACACACACACACACACAGAGAGAGAGAGAGAGAGAGAGAGAGANNNAGAGAGAGAGAGAGAGAGAGAGAGAGAGAGAGAGAGAGAGAGAGAGAGAGAGAGAGAGAGAGAGAGCCGGGAAATTTCTTGGAGCCCTTACGTGGTGCCGTCTGGACGTGTCCTCTGGCGACCTCCCCGCCTAAGGGCCAGATCCCACTGGCCAAGAGGATTGGAATTAGTGTCTGAATCTGGACGTGTTTGTAGCGAGGTGCAGAAAACTGCGATAGATCTTCTCTTCTGCATCTCTGCGTGGAACACGTCCACATTCAGACACTTACTAGTCCGATAGTCCTTGGCATTGGGATCTGGCCCTTACCGGCGGGACTCTCCTTTTATGGCGGCCAGCCTTCGTAATCGGCGGCGCCCTGACCGAGGGGTTCGGGTAAGGGGCAGCCCGCGTCAGCAGTGGGGCCTTAGCAATGGAGCGATGTGATCACACCATACAAGGGAGAAACACGTGGCTGAATGCGAAGAAAAAGGGAAAATAAAGCACCGTGCATGCGCCTGGCCTCATTGGCCACGGTGGGATGGGCCTTGCTCCATTTATGACCGTGTATCTTTCTGTGTTCTAGGCGACGATTCGTTCTCATTTTTTTAGGCACACTCTGTCATTTAATTAGTCGAGCCGGGCCCAAAGAATGGTACACGCACATGGAGCTGTTCGTGAATGTCCTTCGGTGGGACATCCGATAAAACTGGAACCACACAAAGAATGGAAAAAAAAAAAAAAAAAAAAAAAAAAAAGATTAGCATGGCCCCTGCGCTTTCAAGGATGACACGCATCAATAACGGAATGGGACCGTACTCGTATCTATGGTCACAGTGCTTTGGGACTGTTTGGACTGATCTCGGGACTAATTGGGGTCAGTCAGTTACATCCAGGGGCCCAAGTCCCACGTATGCTGATTCCTCATTTCTGACCGTAGATCTCCCTAATCTGCGGTCATCAGAAATTGACACTTCGGGTAAGTGGAAAAAAAAAAAAAAAAAAAAAGAGAGGGACTTGGCCCCAGGTCGTGGTGTTAACCGTGGTAAGACACTTCAGAAAGGTCCCAATGTGAGCTCCCCACCACTTAGCTGGACTCCTTTTTTTTTTTCTTTTTTTTTTGTAATGTGAAAGAAGAAAACAACAGAAAAAAAAAAAA